CCATTGTGTCAACCAATTGAAATGTACGTGTGGTGACACATACATAGGGAGGACTAATAGATCCATGCAAGTAAGGGCCTCGGAACATATTCCAAAGTAGCGTCAGAAGCAAATTAAATCGCCTAAACCTATAAATGTTGGTAGCCGACGTCCAAGTTCTTCGATCGCCAAACATATCGTTGAAACAGGCCACAGGATTCATATGGTTACTTCCTTTAAACCTATTTACAAAACATGTTGGGGAGGGATCCTGAAATTTGATGAAGCCTTAGCTATAAGAAAGTTGAAACCACCTTTGTGTGTTCATAAACAATTTGTTGTCACATTAAATCTTCCTTGGTAAGTTCAACTTTCGAAAACCAAGTTCGATATACTACCATTTTTCGGTCTATTGATTTTCATCGTTATTCGGCCCTTAATTCAGCCCTCCTATCCGACCCCTTTTTATCTTCTCACCCCTTATCTTCATGAGTTTTAATGTCAATACCTATGACAAGTAAGTGTGTGATCAGATAGTTCGAAACGTGTGTTGCGCAAATACATTACACGGCCCAGACAATATACGTCTTCTTATTGTTTTGTCGAAATTTATAAAGGGAACTAATTGTTTTAAATAAGGGAATGAGTAGGGAGGTGGAATTACATTATTTCTGAGAGGACGGCTTAAAAATAGGTGGGCTACTGAAAATGTGCCGACAGTTCCTAGATTCTCTCTGATGTTGCTTGATGGGTGGATGCGCTGGGTAACTTGTGAGGGAGTCTCCCGAACTCCTGCTATTGGCGTGGAACAAAACCAGCGGTCAATTCAAGTACTATTCACGGTGTCGGCTGTGGGACAGGATCAGGTGGCTTGTAACAACAATGACCTAATCAATCACCATACGCCACATGGAATACTGATCGCATCTTTTCCTTCCGTCTATTCCAGTATTCAAATATGGTTTTACACGCTATTTGTAGACAGCACAAATGTGTCAAATATTTGCAGATTTTCGGCGTCGTGTGTGTGTGCTACATACTCTTGAATGCCAGGACGGTATCCATATTAGGAACCAAACCAATATTATTTTTCAAAGTACTTGTGTGGCCAAATGGTCTGCCTAATATTTGTAATATATATTATCTGAGCAACGACACTCAAGAAGACTATGTATAGGATGGCAATTTATTCTTTCCAAGCTTTCTCAACTTCACCGAAAACAGTCACATTCAGATATTACCCTCAAAAACTGCATATGTTCGTAAAATTCATTATTCAAAGTGTACTGTCGCTTTATTTAATGGGGAATTTCACAGATCCAATTCAATACGGGATTGGGACAGTGAAACTTTGAGTCGGACTTTCAACCGAAACCAGTTGAATGTCATCATGATGGCTTCGATGCATGAGAAGAATGGTAATGACATTCATTAGGGATTGAGGAAAAAGTCATGGTGATTGTACCTTCTTCAAAAGGACGACAGTCTGTACTCAGCAAGCGCTTCGGCTCAGACTGTCCTTGGCACCAGCGATCGCAGTGTGGTAGTGTTTGACCTAGTACTCAGCAAATAACTATCATGAGAGGGGTCTCTGTCTTGTCTTTGCAGGAGGGATGCAGACTATACGGGGAAAAATCAGTTGCTTTCGACAGCCTCATGTCTCCGGTGGTGACTTTCCCCATCGACTGACCGGTACTGAGGACCAGTGCGGGCTATCACCACGACGGCAATAAGTAAATGTCTCCCGCAGCGGCAACAGCACCAAAGAAATGGACATCATAGCTGAAGCAAGGCAGTAATTGCCTGCTTGGAATCATCAGGAAATTTGGCATGATTGGATGCTGTTCAGAAGTGAGTAGGTTCATGGTGGACATATGGCTCTAAGGGATTATTGCAGCATCAGGGCGGAGTGCATTTGAGATCGTTCCAGTTAGATCTTGCTGGGATCCACAAAGACACATATCGAGTCATGGGGGAACAACATCCGGAAGTCAGGGGGCACAAGTTATGTTAGGCTCGAATGGAGAGAACCTTTCTGAACCGCAGACTGCCGAAACTTTTAGTAACACCTTCGTTACACAACTGAACACTTTATCAGTCAACCAAAATCGCCAACCACCTGAACTACCTTTAAAATTACTCAGTATTGAAGAGCTGCGTGGAATAAAACTAGACCCTGCTATGGTACTTGAAAAACCGTCAAAGCTACGCACAGGAAAATTCCTTAGGATACGATAGCATTCTATGGCGTGCAGCAGTCTTGCGTGGTCTCCCTTGAAGCCTGTTTCAACAGGCCTTGGAAAAATTCAATTTTCCACAGGGGTGGAGGGGCGCTGTTTTCTTCCCAGTTATCAAAGGGACAGACAGACAGAACCCGAAGTGTCATTGAACTATAGGACTTCCACTAGTGCTGTCAAAATTGACGGAAAGCCTGATAAGTGCTCATATCAGGGAATACTTCGACAAAACAAGGACACTTTTTGGCGTCCAATATGTCTTCCTGGAGGTATGCCCTGCACCTCGAGCCATCCAGTAGCCTGTGACAGTCGGGCAGCAGGCTGAGACATCCAGACCTCTGTTCGTATGATTTCCTCAGGTACTAATAAGGCTTTTGATACAGTCTTACAAGCTATTCAAAAGCGTAAAGTGGGAAGGTCGGATCTCAGCCGCCAGTCGCCGATCTGAATTGTGGAAAACTTATACGGTGGGAAGTTCTGCACGATGGTCAACAGTTTTGGCTCAACTTGAAGAGCTCCAACGCCCGGCACACCACAAGCAGCTATTCTAAGTCCGGTGTAGATAACTTTTTGCGGAGCCCCAACTCTCAGACTTCAGTACGCGGCCACAAAGAGGGACCCGGAACTTAATGCCAATCGGAGAATTAAACGCCGGTTCCAGCTATCCAACAGATGCCTCCGAACGGCGGAAATTACCATACATTATGCTCAGACAGCTAGACCAACTTGTCCTGGAAACTGTCCTGCAGCTCTGTAAAACTTACATCAGGTCTCACTGAGACGTTTTCAACGTCGCCGCACCACCACCCACCCCCCAAAAGAGAAGTGCATGCCTCCTGGAGAAGGTCCAGAAACGAGCCATTAGGTGTGTTTCGGGGAATGCGGTGAAACTGCGCAAGAATAGACAGAAAGCTTATGATCTTTACTTCCCTAGTTACCGCAGGTTACATGGTGGATTTGTGACAGCCTACGCGATACTCGGCGATTGAAGCCACCAGTAGAGCGGTCACCGTGGTAACCCCCGAAGAAGCGTACAGAAAATAGCCAAACAAGTAGAGAAAACACGTATGCGTCCAGACCTTCTCTGCCTTCAGTTTGTGACTGCTGAAAAGCATTGTTACCTTCCGGGACTACTGCCGCCGCACATGTCAACAGCTTGTGATAACTTAAATTTCTTCCTCCGAACATACTATCCAACGTTTAGCCATTGAACGTTTCTGGGGCGTTTTTCTGTATCAGGAGTGGCTGAGAACATTTAACTTACCTTCAACCCTTGCACGTTTCGCACTCTTATTAGTTTTGGTTCGCTGTCAAAGTGTGCTTGAGATATATTGTTCACAAAACTTCGTGTTTTGGCCTTTTCAGTGCTCGTTGCTGCTAGTAGAATGACCAGCAGTGGGTACTGGACCTATCGTTAACGCTAACCGAACCCATTCTCTCACATCTCGGATCTATTAAAACTGATAGTTGAGGTAACGGGCTAAACGTTTCAGGAAAGGATTGGACAGCTTTGCGGCAACACTTGGCTCATGCTCATCAAGCTAGGCGACGTACCTGGCCGCAACAATCGACTTGACTCCATCTATCCATCACAGTCCATCCATAGCAACTCTCACATTAGCACCGTAATTGCGAACTCAACTTCATACTAGCCCACTGGATATTCCCGGCTGACATGCCGCCAGTGATATCATTACTATTTCTGCTCCTACTAAACCCCTTTTTATGCCGCTTGCTCCTTTCCCTCCCTCGGGTTCCCTATGATTTCATCTCTCTGACTAACTTCCTCCACATCACTGTTTTCACTGTTCTCTCCCTTGAATTCACCTGGATTTCCATTTTCTTTTGATTTTACTCATCTTTTCTCTCTACCTCGTTTACTCCTCTTTGTTTTCCACTGCCGTCAGTCCACTTTCTTATCTACCCTTTACGTCTAGTTCGGAGACCCGTCTGATGGTACTAGGTTTTGGAAATCCAGCTGCAGCAAAGCTCAAGGCATATCATATACCTTCCCTCATATTTAACCAATGCTCAACCACCGGTTGTATCTGCCAGAGCTACGGGTGTATCCACCGTATCAGGACCCACCAGAGACCTGAACCTATTCCAAAAGGACTGGAAATGTGTGCGGAGTATTCGGCTGGTCTACACAAGCTCCTAAAACAGGCACTGGTAGTTGGATATTGAGTCGATTTGTGGAAATTATTCTATCAGCTAACACCACTTATGACCTCACTGATACCACTGGATCCCTTTGAAATCAGGCACAATCGAATAAGACACCGTTACCACCCTGGATATGCTAAGTGCCTCACAGAAACTCATGTCAGTTGTTTCGCCCTTGGAGAACTTCAACTACGAAATTTCACACCTGGGCAGGTGATGGTTTCTGTTTCTCCCGACTTACTTGAATAGGATTCAGACATGCGCATTGGCATTGAATAGAGGAGTTGGAATACTTAAAGTTTATGACTTTCAAATCTAGTCCTCAACTTGTACTAGCTACAGTGAATAACCAATATCAGTTATTTCGTTGTTTTCTTCTATAATCGTGGTTATTAGCTAATCGGAACCAGATTCCTTGCTCAGATACAATTGCTATGAAGCAAAATTAAGTTTTAAAGCACCATCAGATCACTAACTTTGCAGCAAGAAGATTTAGTTTCGATTCTGCTTTGATACGCTCATTTGTTGGAGCATTTCACTTGTGACCTTGAATTTCACATTTGTTTGGGATCATATTCGAAAACGACATGCGGAAACATAAATAATTTATCTTCTGATATGTGACTGACAACTCATTGTAGGTTGTATTGAGAGTTCTTTCGGTTTATTGAGTCTTAATACTTACGATACTGTGAATAAAAAGACAGTCAATGTGTTTAATACAATTACTATTCAGATTTAAGTTCCATTGATTGTTATTCGATATGACCTGCAGTCCCTAGATAGTTATTGCACCTGCTCATAAAGAATGTAGAGGATTACATGTTTTCCGATCGACAGCTAATTTTTTGTCAGTATAATTCAAAACCGTACAGTATTGTAGTGATTTGTATGTGTCAAATAACGATAATATAATATTCTCACATTCAAATGTTTGTTACCCGTAGTTAGGTGTTTGCACACCTAAAAATAACGACAATTTTCGTAGGCGTCTTGATACTCGTATTTGTGTAGAAGGATAGGTGAGAGTGAGCTCTTAGTACCACGTTAAGCTGACTTTATGAAATCAAAGTACTTATTAGTCCTGCCTACCAAATGAATGTGAGGAACTCAACGAAATCTAAAGGCACTTACCAATCACACCAGCAAAAATCAGAACGCAATCATCTAGATGAGTTGTGTTCATAAATAATGGAGGTTAGGAAGGTATAAAACAAGTACTACCTATTAACAGGTATCAATAAATAAAACAATTGTTTCATTTATACGTTTCATTCGTATGTTTATCAGTTATTAATTCTAGTTATAGCCCGTTATGGTACGTTTATTTGAAATGATAATCATTTTACCTGCAATGTGTTCCTTAGATATATCTTACAAGCTTTCAATTGGACTCCTGGAGATTCCAGATACTGGGTCCGCAAATTCTGTCCAATAGCTACCAAGCTATGGACATGGCCAAACAAACAGCCCAGAATATATAGGTATCGTTAATTTCTCTTGATGTGACCCGTGAACGCACGTTTATAATGATTAGTTGACAAAGGAAATTTGGCAAACCACATGCAATCAATGCTACGAAGTCATGTGTGATCAAAACCCTGTAATCTTTTCACATCTTTTAATATTAACGGCCATGTCGCATAAGTGTATGGTAGGACGGAACGGACAGCAACGGTGCATACTTGTCCTTTGATAAGTAGCTGAACGTCTTGTTAGCTGGCACCACAAGTGACGTAGCATTGGTCGCGTGCAATGAAATCGCCGTATGACCAACACTAAGGTTAGGTGGAGGATGCTAGACAAGGTAGGCAAGTCGATTGATGAGGTTGCGAACCTTAGTCATGTGAGGTTGCTGGAACACAAACTTCACGTGCTAAGCTACTGCATATGTCGGCGTCCCGTGCTAGGAGAAGTTGGATTAGAATGGAAAATGGTTCATGATGACCATGCCAAGACATGGCACCAGTCAGTGAAGTCCCTAACTGTTGGCTTTGGCCATGTAGGGAGATATAGACTGCCTGATCGGGATTCCCGACATGACAGAAGTCAGTGGTTGAGGACTCTTGGCGACATAGTTGGAAATCGGTCACAAGGTGGCTGATAAATTCACTCCGTGACATCTTCCAAAGTTCAATTATTAGCACTAACCTTTGTCTTCTGATTGTTTATTCTCACACTGTTTTGCCTACCGTGATACCACTCCTATATCTAGATGTTCACTGTATACTACTTTTAAGTGTGACAACTTTAGTCGGAGCACCTGTGTCCGAGGTCCTGAATTTATTTTGTCTATCTGTATTTGCAAGCTGTCAAATCTCTTTCAGTCAGTTAGGAAAATAAAGATAGTTATACCGTTAGATAGTAAAATACGTGTCTTTTTCTACAAAATATGACTCACCGAATCTCTTATGACCTGAAAGCTCACTAAGACATTGTTAACTGGAGGAAATTTTTGAGCATCTGATATGTACCACTGAAACATCCATACTTTTCTTTTAACCCCGTTAATACATTTCTGATATCATTCTCAAACGATTCAAAAAGTTAAGCGTTCACAAGCTTGGCTTCATAATCTCTAAATAAAGTCATAATGCCTACAATAAGCGACCTTTAAAGTTTCAGAAAGCTGCATTCTTGGACAGCACCTGTCTGAGTGCAATTCAAGGAGACACATAGGATTGCCTATTAACTAAATTACTTGGTAAATGTTTTTAAAAAGATTGATATCTGATGCATAATTCAAACATTTTAAGGAGCTAAGTTTTGGGTATTACTGTAGTTTAAATTTGTTTTCTTGTTCCAAAAGGATGTCACTGACACTGATAAGCAAGAAATGCTTTTTTGGTTAAAATAAGTGGTAAACGACCCACTTCTGTGTTTTTGGAAAGCTTATTTCGAAGATTTTGATGACGGGTAATTTCATAGAGTACTATGATTGGTATTTACGGAAAGTTTAATCACCTTCTTCTTAAACAATCGTCGTCATTGTTACGGCATAACTGTACTTCTAACGGCATGCAGAATTAATTTAATCAACAACGCTCTGAACTATTGCTTTCATGTTTAGGCAACACCAAGTAGACAAATTGACACTAAATATAATCTTATTCCTAACATAATTTCCTGAATATAAACTTGAGTTCTATAACTGAGCTCATGATAAATTGTGAGTTCATTTCCGACTACTTCAAGTGCCATATTAACTGGTATAATTGCAGGGGCTCTTCATACCAAAATGGTACATCTTTTCTCCCTCTTCCAAATGTAAAACACTCAGTCTATGTTTCAGTTGAAATGAGCTTTGAATTTAAACGATTACTGATTGGGATCAACGAAACAGCTAGGCGGACGGAGAGATTCATGACAGCATCTTTGTTCATTGGGTCAATGTCTAACACATATAACAGGAATGACTCATCACATGTAGCAAATATCTGAAAAAATTTACTACCTGTAAAATAAACGAATAGAAAGGTGTTGGATTATATGAAGGAAGTGTGAAAGTCGTATGATTACTCTTATATGGAATTTTAACCTACCACGGTGCCCAAGGTTTACTCTTACTTTATTAAAAACTGTATGCTTTATACTATGAAACTATAATTGATGCGGATGTCACACTAAATTCGATTATAAGAATTGATGTTAAAATATTATGAATACACCAGTTTAGGCTTCTCAGTTCTTGGTTAATTCCTCATAATTTCAGCATCCATCTAAATCATTAAATCAATTATTTTGCACTAAAGACGTGTTGTAACAGACAGTGTGGGGCGATAATCGAATTCTCCGTAAGTGCTTATCTGTATCTAGTGATGATTGGGCTCAATTATCTGAAGAGGGATTGTCATAATGTTTGATAATTTACGAGATAACATAACATAGGTAAGTATGAAACAATCCCACTTGTATACCAATATCACCGAACATACTGGCTTGTTAACCGATAGTGGCCAGCGTTATATCCTAGTCTACAGTTGCAACTTAAGTTAATGCATTTTCAAAATGTAAATACTTAAACCTTATTCCTTGTCGGATGTTTGTAAGAATTGGATGAATTTTAACCTACTGAATAGATGTTTATGTCACTGAGGCTTTCACTTACTTTCATATTAGTTTATGGGGCATCGTCTTATGACTAAAAGCTAGGAATCCACTAGTTAGACGACTGATTCCATGGAGTCATTTCGAACATACTGAACTGATTTATAATGACCACATATTCATAATTGACTTGGTATCCCCCTCCTCCATTATTTTTATGGGATATTTATTGAATGGAGAAAATTTATGAAAGGTATCTGTAGTTCAGCGTTCACTAGTTAATCCTTGATTTTCCACAGTTTCTCGATACACCAAAGTCACTTTTGCCTGCTAGCTAGAACCTATTTACCGCATCAGACCATTGATATTGGTTGTTTTACAAATTATTGATTACTTCTGAAAATGGTTACATATAGAAATAATTTGTCAATACTTGTAGTTTTAGCTCTCTTGATGTATGAATTACTTTATTCTTACGTCGTAAAGTATGAGTGCTTACCTGTGCTCACTTCCGTTCTCATACAGTTGAACATTTTACTAAATTCACTAAATCAGTATTGGAAGTTTTCAGTGGTAATAGAAGTAGTCAATATATGTAAGATGGGTCAGTACGATCAGCAAACCCTATTGAAACCACAAGATAACAGGTGTAGTTGATTCAACCTTTTCTTATGTAGCGAAAAAGGACTTGTTCATTTCCTATCATCATTTTATTTTATATTGACTTTCTCTTTCGAATTTAAACGAAGCTGGTGTGACAAGTTGGGAGGAGAAAAATGCATTCAGTGTGATGTTTTTTAAATACATGTGCTGGCTGTATAAAGTGGAATGACGTGTCATTACTTGTATGCAGGTTTTTTATACAGATGCTTCAGTGTCTCGTTGGATTATATCTTAATGTTAGTTGTTCTTTGTTGGCAATGAAGTTCAACAGTTTAATTGCATTTCATCTGAATTTCATTATCTGAGTACGTTTACACTGAAATCAGTTTTTGATTTCCGACTAAAACCCTAAAAAGAAACTTATGGATTCAAATGAGACAATATTTCCTGTAGTTGCTGAATCATTCTGTTCATCGAATGATTAACAGTAGGTTAAAAAACGTATACAACTGTAAAGGACTGGATTTGTTACTATTACATAACGCTTAACCAACCCTACTTAACTCGATGTGCTCTAGCACCTGCATAATCAGTACCTTACCGAAGGTGTAAGTACTGATAACGAAACAAAAATCAAAAAAGTTGTTATTTAGGAATAAGCTAGAAAGAACAACATATTTAAACAGAAGAAATGCGAAAGTGATTATTAGGGAAAAGGCTTATGCAATTTATCTGGGTATTATGGCTAAACTAGGAACTTTGAGGACGTGTATGCTTGCCAGCGTAAGCGGAGTCCAAAATGGTATCCATATCTGCTCGGATGCATACTCATTGAAACAAAACTTAAAACACCTTAAGCATCTGGAGTCAAGCTTGAAGTTTATTTAGTTAGTTCAATTAAATCTAATTATTTTGGCCCAGAATAATGCACTACACATCTCTGAGTATTTTACTGACCACTCCTTTCTAATATAAAAGTGACTTTCCTTCATTTTCACAGGTCCTTACCATAAGCTCACAACTTAGATTATTCAAAATCTAATAGACTAGTTATATGACTTTATCAAAGAGAATAATTATATCCTACCAAAGAAAAATAGCAGTAAATAACTATCCCTATTATAAAACGGTGAATATATGTGAGGCTGTAAAAATCAATAGGTACTTGGTGTACTTATTTATATGAGTAGTATTGTGTATAGCTTAGAATATAGATGTTTTAAGAAGACAAGAGTCTGGAAATGATCAAGTCAAATCATTTTTGAACGTAATTCAAAGTAAACTAGACCTAATAAAATCGTAGTAATGAAGGTGTTCATAAAACGTTTGAAACTTCAGTCAATGAATAAAAAGTAACCAGTATATTTTACATAATCTTTAATTAGTAGTCTACTTTTTAATATTACCTACAATTCTGTTCATTAATTCACATTTATATAAGGCAACATATCATCGTTTCACACAAGACTATTTCACTAAAATTATTGGAATTTTTTTTTCATACATCTTTTAATCATCTAATTTACAGTTTATAGATATCCAAACCAAGTTGGAATTTGATGATTTGAAAAAATTTCGGCACTGAATGAATGATATTCATCATTTAGATATTTGTATTTCCCAATGAGAATGTAAAACATAATAAATTTGTTTCAATTGACATTTCGCTATTTAATGCTGCCAATAGTTTTATCAAAGTTATAGTAGTAAACTGGAATTAACAATATCCAAGCTTATATGTGATAATCTAACAAGTGTTCTTCTGGATGAATAATTCTGAGTCGTCAGAATTGTAGAATAAAGATGATATCTATATGTAGTGTGTTGTGTATGAATTGCAGATTGAGATTAGTACGTACATATGTGTTGATAGTTGTTATCAAACGTATTCTGGTTATGTCAGTATGTGGGGGTAGGTTGAGACCAGGTCAAACTAACTTTTACTTACTTATTCATATTTAGACAATTTTGATTCCATTTGATGTGAAGAGATTCTGCTATGAGACGTTTTTTTATAATTTCCTAAGCCTTTCTGAATAATTTCGATATTGTAAAAATTGACCTTTTGACCTGAAATTACAGCATGTAGAGCTATGACTGATGTGTTTTCAAGTTTTCTCAGTTCTATTGAACATAATAATGACCATAGAAGAAGTCAAAATCCACAAATTCTAAGTTCATGTACTAGGCTATATTCCTTATCACTTGTATGCCAGAAATAATTTTTTCCGGTTTAAAAAACAAAATAAGTTGAAAAAGGTACAAAAATACCACTGTAAGATGATTTTGATAGCTAAGTTTCACATCTACTCCATTTCGACTAAATTGATGTAAAGTCATACATAGAAAATGAAGCCGCCACTATAATCTTCCACTACACTGAATCGTTTGTGATGCATGGGATTTTAGTAATACCTGAGGTGTTCTACTTTCCTTCTACTTTAAACACTCGTTCACTTTAAGTTCGACACATATGGATGTATAGAGTTTATTCACATATCTCTCTCTTTCTTTGTTGTAGTCTTATGTAATCCATGAAAGCTGTCAACACTAAACCAACTCATACTTCTTCCCATTAAACTTCAAGCTATCATCAAGATTAACCAATTACTATTGTGTATACAACATGCGGAAAATTTTCAAGTGACTTTGAAGGCCACCAAAGAAGTCACTGAAATAGCCAATAAGATTTCAATATTTTATGAAAAACTGGCTTTGTAGCCGGAATAGCGGAAAGTGATTGGTTATTACTACAGCTGCTAGGGTGGCCTTTAAAGTCGCCCAAATTTTCAGCATTGTCTCTTTGAAGAGAACTGTGCCTATTACTAAAGCGTTCAAAAACATTTGATAGAGAGTCCTTGCAAAAAATAAGACGATTAACAAATTGCTTCTGACGCAGTTAACATGATTTGTGTTCGATATAAAAGATGCTGTTGGAAAGACACATTTTCAGTGAGAAACAAATAGGTCCTTGGACCTCAATTTAAAAAACAGACAAGTCGTTTGAAGTTAAATATGAAAAAAACGATGAGCGTTTAGTATGTTCGCCAACCTATTTTGGGTACAGCATACTTTGTATTTCTGTCCCTTAATCTAACGAAGCACTGAGGATTGTTGTTCATCGTTTGAGGGAGATGACTTTCAACTAGTTCGTATCAAGTTCGAACCCCGTTCCACCTACCGAGGTTTAAGCGACCAGGTAGCGCTCACACACAATAGGTGTGGCTTATTGCCTACTGCAAGGATATGCACATGGTTGTTGAGTACACTTTGATTCAAGGGTCGATTGTAACATGATGTGTATGGTGAGGAACTTTAGCTTATGAGTTTGTTTTCGCTTTTTCTGATCATTTCACTGCAATTAATTCGTTTTACACTCATTGTCAATCTGCTTAGTTAAGTTTTAAATCATGTGTTTTTTTATTTGATTGATGTGATTTCAGATGATAATAGATATAGCATTCATCACTATCTTGTTAGATGGGAAAGCACTACTTCAAACCTATAAAACTGTTTGTAAGTAGTAAATCATAATTCACTAAGAATATTTTCATTTTTAATCCCTACAGAAACATCAAAACTAACAACCGTTGATAATGACAAGTCATATAACACGTATGCAATATGAACAACAAAGATTGAATAGTTTAGGTAGGACTGGTAGCTCTTCTTCTCTGCGTACCAGTGATACCATACGTGTGCCTTCAGCAAGTTCAATCCGTCCTGTAAACCAATTAACTAATCAAGAACCCACAGGATCTACTGTCTCCGGATCTTATGTCTCATCTAAATCTAGATCACAAATTGGTTCAATTGGAAATGTATACCAAAATATCTTAAAGAATACCAGACAGTTGGATCCAGTTATTCAAGGATCGACAAATCTACAGAATATGGAAAATGGAAACTCTGTTTTAAGTGAGAACAATACCAGAACTGGCAGTATTTCAGGTTATCAACCTTCAGTACTGTTGGCAAAATCAATTCAAGGGACTCGTTCACTTTATGCTCCCAGTCACTTTAGGATGTCAAGAAGCTTAAAAGCCTCCAAAGTAAGTTATCTCTTATCGAACTTTTATGTGAAAAAGATAATATAGACGTAGTATTCATCATGGACTGACATCAGTTGGAGAACCATTGAAAATCTGGTAGCACTGGACAACTGTTTCGTCCTAGTATGGGACTCCTCAGCAGTGCGCACCCACGACCCGGCTAGGGACCGAACTCAGGAACTTCAGATTTCACGGCGAACGTGTTAAGCATTCAGCCACTGGGTCAGTTTCATGATATAGCACCATGTCGCGAATTGACGGAAGTTGGAACCTGTGAACCACTGAAAACCGACCCAGTGGCTGGATGGTAAACGCGTCCGCCGTGAAACCTGAAGGTCCTGAGTCCGATCCCTAGCCGGGTCGTGGGTGCGTACTACTGAGGAGTCCTTCACTAGGAGAAACAACTGTCCAGTGCTCCTAGATTTTCAATGGTTCCCCAACTGATGTCAGTTCCTGATGAATACTACTTCTAAATTAAAAATTCCCATTCATCTCAAAAAATAAAAATAGATAATAGATAAAACAGAAAACATAGTTTGAATGGATGAACAACAGGATTTTTTATTATGAATAGCATAACAGGTAGCCACCTCGTTATAACCCATAATTCGATGGTATGTGGATATGCGGTCAAACCAGTCCACAAAGTTTTAGACTACTGGTGTTAACTGTGCTGGTTCAGGTTCAGGGTATCTGGCTGAGGTCTTCTATATATGATACGCCCAACAGTTAGAGATTCTTCGTGATATGACTCAAAATCAGTGACACTGGTTCAAATGTATAGAATCTTTGTCACATTGATTGATCACGGGAGAGTAACCAACTTTATGTTGCCCAGTCCTAAGTGCTAGTCGAATTCTACTGGTCACTTTGCAATGTTGCCAGCAAGCTAGTTGACTCAGCATCACGATGCAATTTGATAGAAGTTAGTTGGATGGAGACAATTGACAGAAAGCTCTGTATATTACCTAGGTTTCGTGCTTTTTAGCAGTCATCAGCAAAGCGTATCTGCAACCTCTACGGAACTGATGTCGCGCTTGAGCTTCAAACGTGCGTCACGCGGTGCCGATTGCTTACATTCAACCCACACGTTTTTTATCACCTGTGGACTGCTGAATATCTTCACCTTTCTTCATTTTATTCCTTGGACATTCATACGCTTTTATCTACCTTATTATCACACTTTTTCTATTGATTTGTTCTTTGGACACTGCTTGTGAAGTGTAGCAACTTGAAGTGATGTCAGCTGCTACATTGATTTACTTACCTGGCTGTATGTATGCGTTGTTTGTACAGAGCATTGGGTTGATTAGAATCATTCAGAATCTAATTGTGTAGTTTAGTTGCACAATGAAGTTATGTTCCGTGGTCTAATGCACAGATCAAATGGGTCGGTGCATTTTGTAGACTTAATAAGATATACTGTCCTGTTTGTGACAACGGAAGCGTGAAATTTCAAAACTTTTATTCATCTATTATTTAGCGGAAAAAAAAAGTGTTAATCAACTTGTTACTCATAAATTTATCCATCTGAAGTTATTTTGAGAGAATTTTCAAGTATAATTACTCTTAAAGGATATATCGATTTCAATTTGTTATAGAGTTATGTCGGTGATAATTGATAGACTGACTTGAAAGTAATGTCTATTTAAGAGGAAGTAGCGAGCAACAGGTCCATAGGTCATTTCTTCAGCATTTTTCGCTATTGACAACTCCCACTACTGTATATTGTACACAAAACATAAAGCAATAAGTTACTTGGTAGAATTTTTTAACATGTAACGAACAACTCCATCTTTGGAACATTCGAAACCAGATTCAATGGTGTCAAACAGCAGAGTTTCATTGTCTTCAAATCCCATTTCCCTTTCTTTACAAATTATAAGTTTGATGTGTGAAAGTGTATCGTCTTCGCGTCTCAGTTTTATGACAAAGTGGTAATTGTGGAGTGACCTTAATGGTCCCCATAACATCTACTTTGGGGGCCAATTACGTTACTCTATTTTAGGGAAGTGACTTAAAAGGCCACCGTAGCGACAACTAAAATAACCAATCAGACTTCTGTATTTTATGGGAACATGCCTATCCAGACGAAATGAAAAAACCTAATCGATTATTTCGATTGTTAGGATGGTCTTGATATTTCGCCTGGAAAGTACTTTTCCATGAAGTAAAGGAACGCAACTAGCTATCGTGTCAGTTGCTAGGGTGCTCTTTAAAGTCACTCCTTTTAAGGACAACCTAGCAACGATCGAAACAACCAATTAGGTTCCTTCATTTCGTCTGGAAAGCAGATTTCCATAAGATATAGAAGTCTGATTCGGGATGACTTTAAAGGCTACCCTAGAAACTGATGAGATAGCCAATTGCATCTCTTTGATTTATGGGAAAGTACTTTTCCAGTCCAAATACCAAGGCCTGATTGGTCCACTTCAGTTGTTGCTATGGTGGCCCCTAAAATCACTCCTCAATTAACACTACAAGATGAGTCACGCAATTCGCCTTTTACAAATCCCTACAATGGAATAAAAAGCCTTGTGTTTATTGTTCGTATATTTTTGGCAATCTGAACTATCTGTGTACATACTACAGAATGTCATGTCAACAATGCACTGTAATTACCTGAAAAAGAGAAATCCTATTTCACGCACAATAATCGATTTAACTCAACAGGCAATTATTTCCGAAGTATCAGTCATACAGAAATGGGTAAGGAGTCAATCAAAAGCTCTTGAGTTGAGGTATGCAACAATGTTATCAAAAAAGATCTGAAGCATAACAACTTTTGAAATGAAGAAAATAATGCAACGGACAATACTTATTTGACATTCATGTTTTCCACTTTCCGATTAATATATCAGTCGGTAATAGATTGTGTATCCAAGAGGCAAGTTTCTTACTTTACTTAAAAGTAGCAGATCTGCAAGTTCACACTGCTAAAGAGTTTCTTATCAAGGTTATCAAGGTAAAGTGTTCTATGAATAACATCGGTGTTGCTTTCATTCAAATTAAGCGGTCATGAAAATCACTATTTTGTAAAGATAAAGGATAGTAACCTCAAGTCTATGACTTGCTAAACAACCTTGAACAGTCAATCATTATAAAACGGCGTTTATAAAACACATCAAGAACGGTTAAATAGGTATCTTTTACGCGAAAATATTTATCAATAATTAAGCCGAACTATAAAAATGACCACATTACCTACATCAGGCAGTTTTCATGAATAGGTCCCATAAAAATTTTCCATATTTTGGCATAAATTTCAGTCGAAAGTTTATTCATTTGAAATATATGTAGTCATTGATATGATCCGTTTATTTATGAGATTCTGTTTCTAAGATGACTCCAAAAAACTTCACCGGAACTTGTACACTTTCCACCAGTTCGATGTAAGAATTGTTAGTAATAGTTGTAAAACAATGACCATCTAACCAACATAACTGAGAGTATGTTAACGTAATCCATTTTTGTTCACATGAATTGGTAAACATCCACTGATCCTGACTGTTTGTTCTGGGTCATTCGATTGAAGTTGCTATTTCTTCATCTTTGCCCATTTTTCCTTTAAACAATTCTTAGTATACAGTATAGTAATAATAGCAATTTGTGATTTATTTTTACTGCTTACAGGCTTCTTTAGCAACATATAAAAGTGGTAGAACAACAATTCAAGCTGAACATCATGATCGTAAAGTACAGCGAGAAATAAATTCAGTTAAATTTGGTCGAGCAAAAAGACTTTACTGGATTGCAATTGGTTTTTATATTATCTTCTTACTGGTATTATTCATTGGCCTATTAATCACATGTTTACGGCATGTCTATATGAATATAATCTTATCCTTAGATATCGGTGAATCAACTGGTCCCTTGTTAATAGCTTGTTCATTTTTATTCTTTGGAGCCGGAATGAAATTTTATTATGATGCTTATCGACTTGGGTCTGAAGAACGTAAACTTATCAAGGTGAGTTTTGTAGTTATTGAATAGTGGAACATATAAAATTGAACGAATATCACAAAATGATCTTAACTAAAAGAAGATACTGTAAATCAGGATCAATTATGTCTTAACATAGGATGATCAATTTGCATATCATTTACAAATTGCATGGTCCACGTTGATATTTGTCACAACCGATTAATTTTTCACCTGCCTAACTGTGGTATCAACAAATCACAAGATGGGATCTCTAACACAAGATACTACTACTCAACAACTTCATTAGTTAGAAATCACTCAGGCTGATCTGTAAATTTTATCAGGCAGATCAGATAGCTCATTTGGGGCTGAGTTCATCAGCTGTATAGCCGGAAAAACTCAGCTGACAGATCAGCCTGAGTGATTTCCAGATATTCAAGTTGCTTAGTAGTAGCAGTACCTATCGCCAATTCATGACACTTTTATGTCAGACATCACACAGTGTGACCTTGACTGGTTGATTTCGAACGGAAAGTCTGTTGACACGACAGTTAGATAGTCGACCAACTACTCAGCTTTAATAAGTGTCAACGTGGACCGAGCAATTTTTAAATCATTTGCAAACTGATCATCCTACCTTTTTCATGTTTCTTCACGTCTAATAAGCCTGTCCACTATGAATGATGAGAAGTTTACAAATCAGACTCACAAAAGGTGTCAAATCATCATCAAATTTACCAGTTTTATGCTAACTAGTTGTTATCAAGTGTTGCAGCTCCAGATATTGAAATTCAACACACTTTTAAGGAAAATGGAACTGTTTAATTCATGTTTAAAGATTGTTCAAAGTGTGGACACTGCTGAAGGTATCTTTGAAAGCTATTTAATAAATTGTGGTTTTTCTAGTATTTTTCAACTAATTCCACTTGATTTTTTCAGATTAATCGATTACGTAAATTCTCTGGTGTATATAACCTGTAGTCTACGAGTCAAATTTACGCTTACCATTCAACATCATTCAAATCATGCTGTTTGAATTCACAGCTGTACATTGAAATGTGCCGAATAAATCAAGGGCTGAACAAATGGTCTACTATGTCTCATCTTTTTGTGATAATTTCCCTCCAGTTTTTCATATGTAAGGTTTAATCTTCTAGGTAGTAATTTCGTAATAAAGTAGTCTATTAAGAGACTTTTACAACAATTATTCCCTCTTACTGAATCTGCATGATGTAATAAGAAGGAGGTTATTTGTGCGACGTAACATATTTGCACAGCAGATACATTGGAAGATTCTTATCAGAGAGATTCGGGAAATCTATCTCCTAACAAGTCAGCAGTCGGTACTAGATGTAACTCAGGTGTGATGGTGTATGCCTACAACTGATACTTGTTAATGATAGGCTTATAATACGAACTGAAGGAAGCTGGAAAGTTCAAGCCACTGAATTTCAACCTAGGAACTGGATGGTAACGTACCTACCGCAAGATCTAATGTTCTTAGGCCTCATCCACAACGAGGGAATGGGTACACCTTGCTGAGGAGTTCCAAACTAGTTCGAAATAGTAGTTCAGTCCTCCCTAGTTTTCAGTGATTCTACAGTTAATCCCAATCTGTAATGAAAACTACCTCTCGAAATCCGTCAACCCTCACAAACCCCATCATCTGGATTAATTTCGTTCAAATATGAGCATTTGTATCTCATAACTATCTAATATTTACTCTTAAAGTAATTTTTGCCGTTTTCAATGGTGAAATAACATTTGATTGTAACGCAAATTGATAGTTTAAGATTCTGAAAACTACTCACTGTTTACCTAGAAGTTTTGTGCCATTTAAACGACGTGGTTACTTCAATTTGGGGGGTTGGTGAGGATTTATTGTTTTCGAGTTGGCATTCGTCATAGACTGACATCAGTTGGAGAGACATTGGAAACCTGGGAGCAGTGGACGGCTGTTTCATCCTGGCATGGGACTCCTCAACAGTGCGCACCCACGATCTTGCCACGTCTTGAACCCAGGACCTTCAAGTTCTGCAGCAAGCATGTTACCATTAAGCCACTGGGTCGAAATCCAATGATCCTTATTTTCTGCTTCTATCAGCTCATGAAGCAGGCTTTCAATGTTTCCCCAACTGATATGAGTCCATGATGAATACCAACTTGAAAAGTGGTTACCGTTACATTCAGTTGTTAACTTATGAAAATAATTTTATGATGAAGAAATCAGTTTTTACTGTTATGGCGTTTTTTTTATTTTAACATTGTTACAAACATTTAAAATATGAACGTCACACATAACTTGAATTCTGATTGCACTAAAGTTTTAACAGTTATTAAGTGTTCGTCTGGTTATCAGGAGCATAATTTGGATGGGCAGTCGTTAGTTATGCCACTCCTTTGCAGCATATAATGAGTACTAGTTTAAATAACACTGATGAAATCACTTCATATTTATTTCTCTTTAAAGTACAAAGCAGCAAGTCCATCCACAGTAGCTGTTACCACAGTGAGTCAAAGGAAGACAGATCCAGAGTAAGTTTATAATTTCCTTGCTGTTTATTTTCTATTTTTGATACAAAAATTAGGAATAAGGTTTATAAAACATTGATAATTTAAACAAACTTATCTCATTTCTATTTAGCTTATACATTTAACACTGTCCTTCAACAATTAACTTCAGAATAACATATTAGAGGTTTGTTGTGTGAAACGTCTTGTGAATGTATCGTTGCAGGTGGCTTTTCAGAAAATCGCCAGCAGTATCCTTCTTGAATTCTAAACTCGAGAACAATGTCTTCTTCGGAATGGTGCTAGTTGTTGTTAAAGTGTTCTTGTGTTTCACATTTTTCTCAATGAAAAGTAATGGGTATCCATTTTTCAGAAAGGTGGATTCTAAGAAACTTATTTTCTTTTCTACTCAGTCTACATAACCAACCTTATGATATCATGAAGATAGGGAGCCAAAACGATTGCGTTTTCTCGTTAATGGAACCCAACTATAGGAGTTTATCAGTTGTTGGTTTTCTGTATATTGTTCTCTTCAGTGTACCGTAGTCTCTTTTCATCAGTAAAGCATCTAGGAATGAAATTCTAGAATTAATTTCTTTTTTCTCTTCTAAGCTCTAGTGATGGATAGCAGTGATTAAAGCGCCTAGGAGTTTCTTCTGTATCAAGCATGTTGTCACATCTGATGAAGGTGTCAATTGGTTGATCATTGGTTTCAGGCTACAGTTCTCGATGCTGGCTATAAATAAATTGACTAGTAATGGGAGCAAAGGAGTTCCCATAGCTATGCCATCTTTTTATCGGCACACCTCTTCGTCAAAGCTAAATTGTACATTCAGGGTACACGTCAAGAAAAATTCTTTTAAATAAGTAGTAGGTGAACCAACCATAGTTGTATATAAAGGTATCCAGTTTCTACGAATCATACATTAGTGAATAAAGAATTGGATCACAGTACAAAAATCATGGTTTACAAAATCAGAATCCCAATGTGTAAAAACTCTGGAGATTGGTAAAGATTATGCGGTTAATAAACTGGTAGGGTTTATTTGACATAACACAGCGTTATTTGCTGTATGATGTATATTCTGAGCACAAGTCATTTCTTATAATCATACGGTGATTATACAACTTCGAAGACATGATTTTTATAGTGTTATCATTCTTTAGCTTCAATCGTAAAAGGATTTCCCTTATATTAGGAATGAGCGTTGCATAGTCTCTATTTTATGCATTCGGTGTTGATTCGATAGACAAGGATTCAGTAAGTAATCTCTTTCTTCATCTAACTAAATTGATCTTGAGGACTGTTCATCGAGTCAGTAAAGAATACACGCGATACAGGTGAATCTGTATTCATCTCAAATATACGGGAAATCCGATTACTATTCAAATGAAAGAGTGACAATCAATACAACTATAAAAATCAGATATAAGTAGTGTAATAACCTTGGAATGATTATCATTTATTATTATTTGTCCCTCGAGTTCTTAATGGAACATAGGGCTTCAGTGGCACGTCTCTAATGCGCTCTGTTCTCTGAAATCTTTTCAACCTGGCTCCACGACAGCCCAGAAGCTCTCATTTCCTCCTCGTACGATCTCCTTCATATCACCCTCGGACGTCCAACTCGTCGCTTCCCATCGGGGTTCCACTCGAGGGCCTGATTATTGACCGGTAAATTTTCCTCGGAACATCATCCAATGAAATAAATAATACAGTATTACCTGGAATAAATTTATTTAATGTAGAATTGTGCTCTCCTGCAATGACCAAATCTTATTCACATAGTATAACGGGTTTTTGAAGTGATCAAGTGCTCATCATCAGTCCAATCAGTATTGAATTGTTATTATTTGATTAAGCGAAAAAGATATATGATACTGCTAGTAATGGTTTTATAGACTTGAGGATTAAAATTTGACCTGATAGACTTGAATTAGTTGAGAATTGGATAAATGGATTATAAATGAAAATATATTTGTCAAATCGTAATGAGGTAGAAAAATAAATTCCTGACGTTTTGCGACTTTATGGAAATCGTTTCTACAGAGAATTAAATTCTATACAAGTTATCGAATGTTTAAATAGTAAGTGGTGACAAATCAGATCATGTTGTTCATACATAGTAATAACAGTATGGGAATAAGTGTGTTCGTTATCCGTTATTAGTGTGAAGGTCAAAGTGAAGATATGAATGTGTATGGAGATGTGATTGGGTGTCAAGTTAATACTAGTGATGAAGAAATCAGTTTGCTGGGTGGGTAGCTGAGGCATTCCACATTATGTTGAATCCTAATACACTCAACAGAAAGAAAGGCCTAACTATTCAACCAACATGGACAGGACATCCAAAAATAATACATCACACACAATAAACATAACTGAAGCAAGCACACAAAAACAAACAAAACAAATTTGTCATTCCATAGTATTTTTCTCAAACAAGGACACACAATCACATGTCCACACAGATTCACATCTTCACTTTGACCTTCACACAACAATTACACTTGTTCCCATACTACTGATTCTAATGGCGTAAATCTATATTGCTGTGATCGGTATAACACTTGAAGAGTGGGAAATGCTTGGACATAGACATTCACTTGAATTACATGATTATGTGGAAGCTTACAGAATCCCGGAATTGTCAGTGCGCGACCTTGGTGCCACCTATGGTGAAAAAAAGTATGACGGAAAACGATCTTAACTTTACCACTGTATATGCTGAAAAGTGATATTCTGTTGTTCTTTTCATAACTAGCAGGATCTTCTGATATTTTTAATAGAGTTTAATGACTTCCCCTCCGTACTATTCAGGACCCGTTAAATCTTGATTTTTCAATATATAGCCGGCGGTCGCTCCTTCGAATCCGGCCACGATCAGTATTTTCATCTCACCTTCAATCATCACCCAGTGTATATCAATGTGATGATGCCTGTAAACGGGCTTCTCTCATTTTAAATTCTTAATATGAGAATAAAATATTTAGAAGTAGTATTCATCATGGACTGATATCAGTTGGGAAACCAGTGAAAATCTAGGAGCACTGAACAGCTGTTTCGTCCTAGTATGGGACTCCTCAGTAGTACGCACCCACGACCCGACTAGAGATCAAACTCGCGACTTTCAGGTTTCACGGCGAACACGTTAACCATCCAGCCATAGGGTCGGTTTCCAGTGGTTTACAATTTCCAACTTCTGTCAATTCACGATATAGCGCGACTACCACCCAAGGTCTTCAGTTAGCATCCACTTTACTTCCGACTGGTTGACCCCACAGGTCACGACTTCTCATTAGAGCTTCCTGATATCCATCTGGAAGCATTTCGCGCTATGTCGTGAATTGACAGAAGTTGGAAATTGTGAACCACTGAAAAACTGACCCAATGACTGGATGGTTTAACACGTTCGCCGTGAAACCTGAAGGTCATGAGTTAGATCCCTAGCCGGGTTGTGGGTGCATACTACTGAGGAGTCCTATGCTGGGACGAAACAACTGTCCGGTGCTCCTAGATTTTCAATGGTTCCCCAACTAATGTCAGTCCATGATGAATACTACTTCTAAATTAAAAAAACCCCATTCATCTCAAAAATAAAATATATATTTATTTATTATCATGTATAAACATTGTGATCTGATATGATGTAAATTTTCTTCTTCTTTGATTAAAAAAGGGAGAAACTTATCAGTGGACAAACATCAAAAAATGCTTTGAGTCGGGCACCAATAGGCTCAAGGACAACTTTAATTATGCCTTAAATCATATTACTTAAGTGAATCATAAATATCACAATGTGTATAGTTGTTTGTTTTTTCTTTGTTTCTACTGCTTTTCCACTATTTGCTTCTTTGAATAATTAAATTTATGATTGCTGTGAAATTCATTTGTAAATTTATTTGTAGATCGCTTTCTTGAATTTCTCTTTTCTTAACTTTAAATAATAATTTCTATGTAACATGAATTCAATATTCACTTTATACAAGAAGTGAAGACAATATAAAAGACAATCAAATAAACAAATATGCTAACATAGACCTATAAAGAATTATTATTACTACTTAGAAACATTATCACTTTATAAATGTAGCCAAGAAATGGGCGATATGGAATAGTATATTATCTATGGTCAAATGTATAAATAACGTGGCGTAAAATATTGGAAATGACTATGATTTCAAGACATCTTATGACTCCCGTTTCGCCAGGATTAGTTCCATCTGATGTGCGAATATCAGTGATTACTAAACCAAACATATATTCATTGTCATCTCAGTTACTTCAGGCTAGTTGCTATGCGCAGTAATAAAAACTAAAAGCTTCTGAAAAATAAACAGTTGGATTGGCTCGTAGAAGCTGCCACTTGGTTATGTTCTATGTGGCCGATGTGCCGGTACACACTACAGTAAAACTTTAAATATACCAAAATTATAAGTTACCTTCTAAGCAACACCCCTACTATGCAGTCATCACAGTGTCAGAGATTACTTTCAGCAGTTAAACATGACCAATTGAATATAAATAGCTGAGATCTTTAAGATTATCTCTATAACACTGCCGATTTAAAGCGATGGTAGAAAGCGGTTGTCCCTTCTAATTATATCTGAAGAACATTTGTAAAAAGCTCTGAGGATACTAAAGAAATGTTCAAACCAAGACAAATCCCTTAAAAGAAAGAAATACTTTAAGTCTTACGTAACTAATATTCATCACGGGCTGATAGTGGTTGGGGAGCCTTTGGAAAACCGTTTCGTCCTCAAACTAGATTCTTTAGCAATGTACACCTGTGACTTGCAAGGAGATTTCTGTTCAGCTAGAACTCGCAGTATATTGTGAATTGACAGGAGTAGGAAATGTGGACCATTGGGTTCCAACTAGTGGCTGAATGATAACTTGTTCGCCTTCAGACCTGATGGTTTGGAAATGGATCCCACATGCGATCATAGGTGCGTATTAGTACGGAGATTATAAGAAGCTCCATCAATTGCGCAGTACTTGTGTGGCTTACCTACCAATGTGAGTCCGTAATGAATAGTACATTACGTATTAATTGTCAGATCTGAACGTGAGAAACCAAGTCATTGCTGACTTCCTCAATTTTGTTGCTTTACCAATTCCAAACAACTATTTACTATTGTTGCCACTGTTTACGGACATTGCGTAGGCTCTTCGTCAATCTACATCTCCGCTGTTTACGCTTTTCGTTGTACTTGAAATGCATTCAGGTTTTGCAACAGACTGAAGATGGTCCCAGGCTTTTTCCAAAATGTAACATTTTCTGGTTACCCGTACAGCCAGTTTCTTCTTAAGAGCAAGCTGATCATCCCTATATTTTTACTGCATATTCTCAAATAAAATGCATCGTCACTACCTGAGCATTGGTTCCAGAAGGAGTAGCATTCTCTCACCGAAGCTCTCATGCTATATAGTTTGTGCCTGTAAACAGTTCATCTGGACTTGATGTGAGATCAAACCCAGGACCTTCAGGTTCCGTGGCGAGGTCATGGGCGCACACTGCTGAGGAGTCCCGTACTAGAACGAAACAGCTGTTTAATGTTCCTATAACTGATGTCAGTCCATGATGAATAGCAACTTGAAACCAATAAACCCCCAAATTGAATTAATCCTACTTCAGTTAATATTAAAGGTCGAGATAAGAGGTGACGTGGCATCCCAGCTATCTTCATCACTGAATGTTTTCAACGTCATTGACACACCTGTCTTCCTGCCCACTGCTCTATGTTATCTCTGAAAATAATTCTTACTATGATCTAACAAACGTACTTTAAGACGGTGGATCTACTGCACCCCATCTGATAACCATATTTAGTTAGCACTTTTTTACTCCAGTATTCAAGTGGTGCAATACGCAAATTAGGCTAGACAAACTGATACCACAATGACGACTTTAAACAAAGCGCAAGAGTATATGCAGTTCGCATCAATTCAAACAGATAACTTTATTACGTCTCAAAGTATGTACATATATATATATATATATATATATATATATATATATATCAGCAGTTTTTAGAGTATTTATTTTGTATAATAAAAAAGAGAACTTTAGAGTAGATGGTGACAAATAAAAGACATTTTGTTTTGCAAAAAAAATTTAAGAAAAAGAAAGCGATAAACAGACTAAAATAAAATTAATACAGAGGAAGCATGCATCCATTTCATCAAAAGATAACTGAACTCGAATAAATGATAGTACAATAAATACCAATCCAATACGAAAACAGTAATAACAAAGATGCACAATGTGTACATAGAACACATCACAATCGGTAATGAAATGAATTCAATCGAAATTAAGAACATTTTTCAGATTGACTAGCAAGACGAATAAGTGGATAACATTTACTCTCCAAAAAGTTGTAGTCTAATTTTACTGGACTAGAAGAACATAGAAATGATATTTTGTGCTTTGATTTATGTACACTTGGTCGTCTATCTTCACATACACCAAGAACTCGACAAGCTATAGAATTATGTTTGGCTAGTTGTTGAAGATCTACTAGTCGATCAGGTGGTCCCAGTGTTTCAGTGAACAGAGATACAGCAATATCTGATTGCATGAGCTTTCGTAGATTTTCTTCACCTGATGGACGTAAATCCAATGTTGTTTGAATTAAACTTTGAGCTTGATCAAATGCTCTTGACGCCATACAGTAAAGCTCAGATGTTGACCGACCATCAATGAGACTACTTCCAATTAAAGACTTCCATGAGTCATAGGCGCCTGAAACACCTCCCAATTCGAATAGAGGGGAATTAGGAGGAATGAGAAAAATTCCAAGTCTTCTGGCGTATGATTCAAGACGACTAGTCCTATTCATAAATGTACATGGTAGTGTATTGTTTGTAGAATTCAGATTTGGTATATTTTCGTTTATTTCAAAACCAACATCACGCTGAAGAGCACGTATAGCGTAAAGACTTGCTGAATTCAAATATTGATGTATGCCCAGGATATTAGTCTGAAAAAAGTTTGAAATGAAATAGTCAATAATTGACGTTCAAAGAAACATAAAAAGGTAGTGTTTCTGAATTAAACTTTCATTCATTGCCTTACTTTGATAAATCTTAGCAACCATGAAAAGATAAAACACGGTAAATTTGCAAAATATTCACAGAAAAAATCAGTTGACAACACAGAGTAGTTAAAATAAAATGCATAGTGAAGTTCATATTTGAGCTCTTTAAAAAAAAATTAATCTTTACTACATAGTGGTAAATTTTATCCCAATAGTCCACTATCTTGTATACTTAGATAAACAAATTTTAACTTTGCTAGTTAAATAAACTCGTTTTTCAACTGTTCATTGCGGAGTTATACGTCATTAATCTAAGTATCTGATTGTTAACAATACAGTTATGAGTTCGAACTCATCTTAGGCAATCGAGTAGTGCCAGTAATCTTCATACAAATGATTTCAGTTAGTGCTTACTTTACAAATCTGTGCATGTTTACTGAAACGCAAAAGTTAAAGTGGCAATGTAAGCCGAATAAACACAAAGCTGCTTGCTGTTGCTTTATGGGAGGATGTATAACTCGAAAACGTGTCACCACACATAATGTGATATATCTAATTGGTACAGAAGAACAATGGATACTTGTAATTTATTCCTATGCAGTGATAATTTACACGTTTAAAAGAAAGGTCAGATGTAGTAGTGCATGATACGTGCAAGTTCGGAAACATTCTGCGATACCACCAACTTTTACATAGATTCTTGTGAGCGAAAAAAAGATAATTGAACATACAACCAATTTCACGAATATAGATGTAATAAATCCTTCACTTTTGTGAAAATAGGCAAATAAGTAAACCAGGTATACATTTTCCTGAAAACGCCAAATCTTCAATACTTACACATTGGGAATAATATGTTCGAAAAAGATTGCCACTCCGATTGTGGGCTATACTTAAAAGTTTAAAGTGGAAAGTGTGCTCCAAAAAATACTGACAATGTTAGTTAACATATTCGAAGTTCTGATAGATAGTGGCTAGCAGTGGAATCCGGTCCAATCAACGACGGTATGATGTAAAAACAATTATACTACATTAGTTCATTGCTAGTAGGATGGATCCATTCATTTTTTTGTATAGTTTCATAACTTGAGTAACCCTAACCCTATCCTAAGTGCTTACATAATGTAATTAGACGAAGAAGTTTATTTGAACAAACTGTGTGATGTATTTGCGCATTACATTTCGAACAATCTGATCAGACATTTACTTGTCAAGTCAATTTATACTAAACCCAAGGACAAGAGGACAAATAAAACAATTCAGATATTAGAACATTAAAATTGAAGAAAGATGAGAAGAAAAAGGAGTAGTGGCATAGCTGATCCTAATCTTGGTAAGAAAACAAAGTTTACTAAGAGGTAGGTGTAGTGTAAGAATAACTTGTTTTTGTACACATAAAGGTGGTTTCAATTTGTGTATGACTATCACCCTCACAAATGTCAGTATGCTTCCCTGACGTTTTCTGTATAAAACTTTGAAAGCTGTTTGAACATTAATTTTGTAACCCGTTTTCGTATTATGTTTAGCTATTGGTGAAGAGGGTCGTCTCCCACCTGCGTTTATCGCAGTTTCCTACTTCATTGGTTTTTAAGAAGCATGAGGATGTTGTTTGTCTACTAAAAAGACTTAACACTGTACAAAATAGTATCAGCCTGACTTGTCAGAAAGAAAATAATAATCACCTGGGTTTTTTAGATTCCAGGAGAAGAGGGTTTAATAGGACGGTCAATCTACAGACGTTTATTATGCTGCTTGGCTTATTATCGTGGAAAAAACAAAGCGCATGCTCCACCACAAACCTAAATACTGCATAGATGATTACGTCACACCCCATTGTGTTTACCAGTTTACATGTGTGTGGTCACATATGTAGGAAGGAGTAATGGAGTGACACAGTTGAGGGTAGGAGAACGTGTACGTGAACGACTTCAAAAACAAACGGAGTGGGAGTGAACAAAAACAAGTTATTCTTACACTACACCTACCTCTTAGTAAACTTTGTTTTCTTACCAAGATTAGGATCAGCTATGTCACTACTCCTTTTTCTTCTCATCTTTCTTCAATTTTAATGTTCTAATATCTGAATTGTTTTATTTGTCCTCTTGTCCTTGGGTTTAGTATAAATTGACTTGACAAGTAAATGTCTGATCAGATTGTTCGAAATGTAATGCGCAAATACACCACACAGTTTGTTCAGATAAACTTCGTCTTCGAGTTGCACTAGCTAAATATCCTAAGTGTACTATCTTCCATTGATTTTCGTTCACTTTTAAATTCAACTGTTTTAATTGACTTTGTTTCATGTCGTTGAAAGGGTATGGTGACTGGATTCAAGTTTCATACTATCTCCGGTTAATAACCTAACCTTTCTCCGTCTCCTGAGGTGTGGACAATTAGGTAGCTATGTGTTAATCTCAGATAATGTGCGTGGTTAATTGTTTAGTGCACGAACCTTTACATGACTACTGAGTTAAACTATGTATAATATTTTTAATTTAAGAAACACTAGCGGCAAAGGTGGATGCTACCAAATCTTTTTTTCAAACAAGAATAAAATGGATGTTAACCTCAAAATAAACGAAATGCTTAGTGAAGATTGATTCTATAACAAATATCATCAAATTCTAACCTCAAAAACTGAACCAATTTCGTGTATCATTGGCGGCATAGGTTTAATTCCACTATCACAGTTTGTATGTGATGTCTCTGTACAGCGGATAGTCTCATCTGTAACAGATACTTTTTCTTTGTGTTTCTTCTTCTTTTTACGTCGATGAATTTCAACACCACTGCCAGAATCACACGTAACAGTTTGTTTCATTGAGGTTTTGTTTTTAGTGGACTCACTTTCTAAATTCTTTATTTTTTCTAAGGATAAAACAATATGTTTCTCTGATAGATGGCGGATTAAATTACTTAAATTTTGGAATAAATGTATTAGAAAGGCATAAATAAACAGCCATTCATTTGGTGAGTATAACTCCAGCTGAAACCCAGAAATAACATAATCCCAAGCAAGGTAATAATAGATGTAAGTAACAAAAGATGACAGTTGAATTTGGACTGGTACAACAGACTGTTTTGGGGATAAATCAACTAATCCTCTTTGATATTCAAAGTGTTTATCAGTAGTTGCATTTCTCAGTTCAATACCGATTACAAATTCAGCACGTGCACACTCATCAAGTAGGTCTGGAAGACGCTGTAACCATCGTTCTAAAGCAGAACGTTGACGTGAACGGTTTAGACAGTAAACTGCTGGAATCTATGAATAATAAATAAAACAGAAAGCATGCATCCATATAGGATTTGTAAAGTAAGGAGTGATAGCTAACTAAAACAAAAAAAAAATACTTTGCATAAGCAATGTTTGTATGTAATTCACAGCTGTCATGTGCAAGTATTATATTCAAGAAGTTGAGAATTAGTAGCTCAACATAATGATACATTTCTTAGAGAATGTGAATCAAGTGAAGTGTTATCGAACCGGAGAAAACCATTCACTATGAAAGGGAATATAGAAAGTGTTTTATAACGACAGAACAAGTATCTGATATCCTACATTCAAATGACAGAACTTTAAGAAAATAAATGTTTGAGGCTTAATAAAGAGTTTATTAATCTGATTGATATCACTGTTTAGATTTTACGGTACAGACACATTCACATGGATCTCTTAATACCTAACAACTTATTTGAATGGTAGAAATCAAATGTGTTTACTAAGAGGCTTTGTAGTAGGGCTAGTAGCTGGACACAATACTCAGACATGATACTATGTTATCATAGACGATGTAATAAAAGATTGGTTGTATGAGTGTTTTTAGTAGATGAATACCTCATATTATAGAAAAAAACATCGTCATTCATGAAAATATCGAGAGAGAGAGAGAGAGAGAGAGAGAGAGAGAGAGAGAGAGAGAGGTCAACTCACTCCCACATCCACACTCGAATCATTTGGTTCACCTATGACGAACAGTTCATCTCATAAGAAAACATGCAAGTATCATATTTAACTATTAGACAGTGCAAACAGAGTAACAAATGAAGACGCAAGAGTGCCCATACATGTAAACACTTCACTCTAAAGATATACGATATGACCACTAAAACATGGTTAACATAATAAGTTTACACATGTCTGAATACTCGTCAAATTTAAGAATTTTCATTGTACATGAACTTAAATAGCAGCAGTTATTAAAAATGGATGGGTTAAGTGTTGTGCATATACAACAACTCAATATATAGATACACACGTAGAAATAAAAGACACTACCGTGCAATTAAACCTAAATGTATAAGACATATGAGGACTTAGAAAATATTTGCTAAAATTCAGCAGTGATACGAACGCTAGGCGTAAAATACAATGAATGAGTCACTTACTACTTTATTTTATAATATCATTTAAGATGCACTTCTGTGACAAGTTCTTCGTTGATATTTCTGTCTGTCTGTTAATTCAGAATGACTTCTTAAAACTTCCAGTACATGTTTTGATATATTCACTTCATTATCAACCTAATTCTAAAATCCCCGAAACTTGTTTTGCGTTACCTGGTCAAACCTAGATATCAAAGTAAACTAACCACAGATAATTGTATCCCCTGGTTAAAAATAACTGATATCACACTTTTGAGTACTTAGTAACGACCGGATTCCGTGGCTCAGAATCATACTGCACTGTACTTGAAGTTGAACGGCTGGATCTTGACTTATAAAATAAACGTAGAGCCTCGCACACAAGTGCATTGGTTCAAGTTGCCACTCTTCACAGTAGTGTACAAAAAACAAGTGAATAGAAAAAGACTGGAATCAAAGTAAACAAAACAGTGTGAGAGAATAAAACAATTAAAAATAAAAGTTAGTCAAAACATTCAAGCTTCAGAAGATGTCAGGGAGTGAATACATCTGCGACATTATGACCAATTTCCAGCCATACCACCAAACGTACTAAACCACTCATTCACTTTGTCTCCAGCACCCTAACCAGACAGTCTACACCTCACTACATAGCTCAGACCAACAGTCACAGACTTTATCGAATGGTGCCACGTTTTGTTATGACCATTCTCAATCCTCTTCCAATCCAATACAACTCTCCCTAGCATGTCACGTTTAGGTAGGCGGTGGTTCGGCATGTGCAGTACATCTCCAAACCATCTCAGAAAACAGGTTCACAACCTCATCAATCGACTTGCCTGTCTTGCCTAGTACTCTTCGCCTGACCTCAACGTTGATCATAAGGTGATTTCACCACATGCGAGCAATGCTACGATGACACCTACGATCAAAACCCTGTGACCGCTTTATATCTTCTTCCTTTAACGGCCATGTTACAGTAGTACAACAGGACAGAACGGGCTGCAGCGCAGTATACTTGACTCGTACTTTGATAGATAGTCAGAATGGCTGGATATAGTTAGAAGTCTGTTGTTGTTTTTTTTTACATATAAAAACCCCTTGCTTTCTTGAGGACTCAAGTTCCGCGTCTACTCTTATTGATTGCTTTGTTGTTGTGATATCCCAATGATAACTCAGCATGATTGTGTTGAGTGGTAGTGATGAGATATCTTATAGGGATGTTGGTATCCCTTTCAAAGTACTCTTCAGTCAGTCTTTCATTGGCAGTATAAAATAATTCCCAAATATTCTGATATATATATATATATATATATATATATATATATATATATATATATATATATATATCATTAAATACTTGAAACTTACATGAGCAAACTGATTAGAAAGTGTAGTGAAAAAGTTCATTAATTCAGGGATTTCAGATATAATATCCTTGATCAATGAACGATAAGAAATGTGCTCAACCTGATACCACGAATTCAGGAAATAGTGGAAGTTCATTGGAGAGAAAGACTGAGGCTTGAAATCAATAATATCTCCATGACACATGAGAACGAAATAAAGCATACACATCATAGTTCGTGCTAAAATGCAAGTAGTCAATGAAGATTCTTTGTCTTTACCACAATTTGCGTTTGACAAAAGAGCTCTGACATAAGAACAGGATATCTGACCAGATTTCTGAATAAATGCCCACAAACTTTGAAGTCGTAATGGCTCAGGATACAACCGGTGCCACTCAGTGAAAGTTTCATATGTACGGAGAATATGTTCAAGCTTTGTAAAAAGATGAGAAAAGTAAACAAATGATTTATGACGATCATGAATATTCACTACTCTAGGCATATATGAAGGTATATTGGCTTGATTTAGAAAAACTTCGAAACCTGGAAGACCGTATGTTGCATCCTTTGGCTGAAGCTTCCCTTCACTAGCCACTTTACCAACGGATGAAGTTTTTATCAAAACATTACTCAGTAATTTCAGACGATTCACGTGTTGTGATACTCTTCTACAAAAACAGATGAAGGAATTCCATGAGACTAGAGTACTGGCTTGAACTTCGCAAATCTTTGGAAGTGATAAATTCTGCTCACCATAGTCAAAATCAATATTTGTATATCCTTCGAACAGATCATTTTTTAAATCGGTTGAAGTTGAACTTATACGTTCAAAGACTGAATTGGTGAACAATAAAAAAGCTTGCATAAATTCTAGGCGGCTACGTAGAGCGGAAAGAAGTTTTTCTTCATGATCAATAAATGTAGTCGGATCACTTTCAAGACTTCCGTTTAAGTCACTTGCATGAGCGATTAAATCGAGTGTTGATAATTTATGCAAACAATTGTTACGAAAACCGTTGTAATTGTGGAAGATGCTTGAGGGCTCCTGAATTGGCATACCGTGTGTAAATGTGTAGTGATCTTCTTCATCGAAAACACCAACAGCAATAATTAGATGACGCAACTGATAGACCATACGGCGAAGTAACTCACAAAATGCAGCTAGATATTTGTCATTAATTAACTGTGTACAATGCATATACATGCAAATAAAAATACTTTGCGCCAGAGAATCACCTGTTAACCAATTGACGCATGCAGATAGTAATTCATCCATGACACCTATAAGCTCATAGAGAGATGAGAAAGGACCTAAAGGTAACTGGTTTGTGGATAGCGCCTCAAAAGTTGTCATGACCCTTCGGTTTCCTTGAATTCGAGCATCCATTTTGGGATCCATAATTTCAATCGCTGACATAGAGTATTGTAGATCAAACCAACCTTCATGAAATAGTTCACCTGGTTCTAGTCCAATTCGACATGCAGAAAAGAATGCTTCCGTAATATCCACAGGATCAAAGTTGGCAACCGAGATAGGATGGCTACAGTCACTACTTCCTTCTAGGGAGTCAGCGGCCATTGTTAAATATATAGTTGTGTCACAAATGCAAATGTAGTTTCAGACAGCCTCGACAAAGTTGTAATACATCACAAAAAGATGTTTAAGCGTTTTCCTGTGCAATGACCTAAAAAAATAAATTTGGGTCATTTACTAAATACGATAATATCAAGTAACGAGTAATTAAGAAGTAGAAACAAATTTAGTAACAACTACTTACACTGTAGACTGAAAAGTTGGACCTATGCCATAATCAAAATTTGAAGATTTTTATGTAGACTTTTAGATACCCTCTTACTTTTTACATTGTAAACAGTTAAGAACATAGATTCATTAACGAAATTGACAGTAGTTATTCAAAGATAATGGAGAACATTTGTAGCTTAGGCGGACAATTTTGTCGTGTTCTCTGAGCTGGATGATTTCATCATGAAGTTTTCATTATCACTCCAAGCAACATCATCAGCAAAAACTTCAAAAAGTGAGCTATGAGATTTTCTTCACAAGTGGCTTAGCGGGTTGTCCTGGTGACCCTGAGTGTGATTAGTTGTTTCTGTTGGAGTCTGGTCATTGTTACCATATGTATTTCCGCTCAATGCCTTGCTGGTAAGAATACTGACCCCTCTTGTAGTCTCTTTCTGGTTGACAGACTGAATCAATCTCAACGCGTTGATCGTTGACTGAACTGAGTTCCACGTTTCTAAAATTCTCTGTATTCCCTCTGTGCAAGATTTCCCAGGTGAATCCATGTCCGCAATTGTCTAAATGTATTCTTATGAACGAAGATATATCAAGACGCTTCACTTCTAGTTAATGTCCACGTAAACATACACGAAGAGAGCGAACACTATAGAAGATAGGGTGCTTTTTACAGCTTATACGACCATCTATCAAAGTACGAGTCAAGTATACTGCGCTGCAGCCCGTTCTGTCCTGTTGTACTACTGTAACATGGCCGTTAAAGGAAGAAGATATAAAGCGGTCACAGGGTTTTGATCGTAGGTGTCATCGTAGCATTGCTCGCATGTGGTGAAATCACCTTATGATCAACGTTGAGGTCAGGCGAAGAGTACTAGGCAAGACAGGCAAGTCGATTGATGAGGTTGTGAACCTGTTTTCTGAGATGGTTTGGAGATGTACTGCACATGCCGAACCACCGCCTACCTAAACGTGACATGCTAGGGAGAGTTGTATTGGATTGGAAGAGGATTGAGAATGGTCATAACAAAACGTGGCACCATTCGATAAAGTCTGTGACTGTTGGTCTGAGCTATGTAGTGAGGTGTAGACTGTCTGGTTAGGGTGCTGGAGACAAAGTGAATGAGTGGTTTAGTACGTTTGGTGGTATGGCTGGAAATTGGTCATAATGTCGCAGATGTATTCACTCCCTGACATCTTCTGAAGCTTGAATGTTTTGACTAACTTTTATTTTTAATTGTTTTATTCTCTCACACTGTTTTGTTTACTTTGATTCCAGTCTTTTTCTATTCACTTGTTTTTTGCACACTACTGTGAAGAGTGGCAACTTGAACCAATGCACTTGTGTGCGAGGCTTTAAGTTGATTGTCTGTCTGATTTGTTTTCCTTTTTTATTGCATCTTATGGCTTGCATAAGTTATGAGATTTTGTAAGCTTATGAGCTATAGCGATTTCGACAGGGTCCGGTAATCTGGTTGCGATTTCGGAGACGTTTTTCAGATAAGGTAAGACAACCCCTTTGTTGGCTTTCAAGGATAACGTTTTGTTTTTGTCTTATTCCACGTCAATTAAAGGTAGTGAAATGAAAAGTTTATGACTGCAGCTATGATGAACATAGTATAATCAGTTTCACCAATTTGAGAAATGCCACACAATGTACATAAAGCTAAGTTGTCTGGCCTTACAATACCGTTAGGCACAGAAAGTAAATCAGCAAAAGGACCAATTCCTCATTTTTACGGATGGATACATGTATCGTGGGGGATTAATTTTGATACCCCACAAAACATTTCCGAAGCCAACTCTCTAAGATCTTGATCCGACCCCAAAATGTTCTCGTCTAACTGGAGGTAGTTACAGTCACCTGTTTGTCATAATATGCTCTTGATAGCCTCTGTCATGGAATACCTATAAATTGGAGGAGTGTTACGACGTTAGACAATAGGTGATTACTATCTTACACAGCTGAATTGTCTAACATGAAGCGAATACTTAGAGCAATCAAGAAGCCTTGATTCCAAACCTGCAACGCACAGAGAATAACTGATTATGGCGGAATAAGTAATGCATAGAACTATTATAGTCACTGATCACAATTAAAGGAAGCTACTAAAGTCACTTCACTATATCGTAAACTACACTACAAGTTAGAAGCTCGCAAGGTAGCGTCAAAGTAACTGCTTGCTTCAATTAAGGTACCTTTAGAGAATCACAGCTTATACAACTGGTTATAAAAGTAATTGTCTTCTACTGTTAGTTAACCCCCTCCACAAAACTGTTCTTCAATGTCTCACTTGACTTAGTTACGTTGGAATTAATATATTGCTCAGTTTTATACGCTTAAAAGTTAGTGCTTCTGTACATATTGAACAGCAGGTGGATTTCACTAAAACAATCCAAGCGTTACCATTTTTGCATGCTGTATCACAGAAATCCGCCGACAAGTGCCACAGAATTGCTCAGGATCAGCTCTCTGTCACCTCATGTGGAGCTATGACTCAATGGACTGGGTACTTAATTTTCAAAAAGTGAGTCACAGGTTTAAACCCTGCTTCTCTTAACTTTTGGACAATTAGGTAGTACTGAAGGAAACGAGAAGACAGAGACGAAGGAAGGAAATTTTCTTATTGACATCTAATACAGTAATCATCAAATACGGTACACCTTGCACCAAGACAGTCATTTGCATAATGTGCTTTACTTCCTCCTCTGCTTCCATCTTGCTTTGCTCTTAATACGCCCGTATTGTCTCTTACATTTCTCCGGGTAGAATCCTTACCCATTGCTGGTAATTCCCTATGATTTCTGCCGCCCTCTCAACATATACTGCTTATATCCATTCTTATCAGCAACGCCTACTACAGGATCATTAACACATATTAGATTTGGTTACATGCCAAGTACCCAGAACTGTTTAACATGAGTTGTTGAGCAACATCATATTATCGTGCTTTCCAGAAAGCGTATTTCATGTGTGCTTATCCAGAAATCTGAACTTGCTGATCACTACGTACTCGAAACGAAACTGAGCTACTCAATCGGATTTTTGTGTCATGTTAAGGGAAGAAGTTATTGTTTGTCTTGTAACCACTACTCTTACTCTTAAACAGATGTACATCTTTAGTTGAATGATTTCTAATTATATTATTTTGAGTTTAGTACGTTCTATATATGCGACACTTATCTGACTGAAGGCAACAATATGGCAAATCTACCACTCTTCTATATCGTAACTCTGTTTTAGGGATATTTATAAATCGAATACAGTCAGATAATTGATCCTATCACTCTTGTGAATGCTGATCAATCGATTAGGCCACACTACACTGTATGCTTTAACAGCCTACCAATCGGTCGTTTTATCATGATCCCCGTACAACCAAACAACAACACTTACTTCATAAATGTCCAAAACCAACTAAATGTTGTTAGTTTGGCTGGCATATTGGCTGAAATGTTCAAATTTCAAGCAATGGGTCCTGAATTCCACCCTCCCCCCTCCCCGCATCTACTACGGCCTGGGGAACTGGGTCGCATTATAAGCCCTCACAAAATGAGTGACCAATAACCTAGTGTGAATCGGGAAAATCAGTAACCACGTGCACGTTTATGCAGCAGGCAATAAGCCACACCTATTGTGTGAGAAAAATGATACCATTTGGCTAACCAGATCTCGGTAGTTGAAGTGTAGTTCCGACTCATGATCCACTCAATCAATCAATATCAACATAGGACCAGGCATTACTGCATAACGGTCCGAGTTGCCACACCTCATATCAGTACACCAAGTAGAAGGGTAGTGAGGTGAAGGATGAAGAGAAGAGAAGAGAATGCAGTCAAAAGAAATATAAAGTACGACAAGAAAGAAAAGAGGAGTGACAAAATGGTGAGATTCAGTATAGTATCGTTAAGATGAGGATAATGTGTACATACATCTGTACCACTCACATCGGTTCTCAGCCATATCATCTACAGTCAGTCTCCAACCCTGGTTCCTCTTGTCCCGTGGACCCCAACCACCTAGTCTGCATCGTCTTACATGGCTCAAACCAACAGTCAAAGACTTCATACATTGGTGCTATGTTTTAGTCTGGCCACCTAGGCCTTTTTCCAGCCTGAACCCACCTCAGCCAACATTGTGTGACGAGGCAATCGGTGACTAGGCATACGTAACACATGTCCCAACCATCTCAGTCGATGAAGGTTTATAACGTCGTCTACTGATTCACCTCAGCACCCTAAAATTCTACACCTAACTTCTGCATTACTCACGTGGTGGTGACACCACGGAATACGGCCTATACTACGAAGGCAACGGTGGTCAAACACTTGAAGCCTTCCTATATCTTCCACTTTCAATGGCCATGTTTCACAGCTGTACAGTAGAACAGATCGGACTGCTGTGCAGTACACGCGACCCTTAATAGACAAACGGATATCACGGCGGCACCATAGGTGGCGCAAATTGGCAAAAGCCAATCGAGCCTTTTGTATCCGTGCAGAGATTTCATCGGCCACTAACCCATCAGGGTTGATCCTACTTCCCAGGTAAGTGAAGTGGTCAACACACTCAACCACTTCACTCTCTATTGTTAGCCACGGTGGGGCACCGCTGAGGAGCAGTTCTGGAGCAAAAATTTGCATTTGGGTGGTGAGAACCGCATCCCAGACATTCTCAAAGTGTTCAGAAGACTCTGCATGTTGTCAGCGTCTTCACCTAACAGGACTATGTCATCTGCATATTCTGGATCTAAAGAAAATTCACCTGTGATTAGGTCAACGTCTGTGTAATTAGGTGACGAGAGGGAGATCTCCATAAGAATATCTATGATATAATTAAATAAGAATGGAGTTAGTGGGTATCCTTGATGGACACCACTCGATGAGTATAGCTCCCTGGACAACTCGCCATAGACTCTGACATGCCCA